TGCATGGGAAACTGCTAATTTGGGGTTGGTCAGCGTTCCTCAAGGTCCGGAGCAGTCTAAAAATGGGGCCGAGTGCCTCCAAGCTTCCAGAATGCTCTAAGACTGAGTCACTGACTCAGGCTGAGTCACTCCTTGAGGGTTTGCACATTCTAGCTCCTTGTGGCTTAGAGTCTCCCTGCGAACACCAGGGAAGGGTCTCCTTATCCCCCCACCCTCACCCCATATTCTCTTGTCTCCTCAGTAAATCCCCCAAAGGCTGTGGTGTCCCTAGACCCTCCATGGTACAGGCTGCTGGAGAAGGACAATGTGAGTCTGAAGTGCCTCCCTGAGGGTTATTCCACACAGTGGTGGCACAATGGGAGCCTCATCTCAAGCCAGTCCTCCAGCTACTTCATCAAATCTGCTAGAGTTAATGACAGTGGAGAGTACCAATGCCAGACATCCTCCACCTTGCGCAGTGACCCAGTGCAGCTGGAAGTCCACATTGGTGAGTCCATAAAGGGGAAAAGGGAAATCACCAAGAAAGGGTGGAACAAGAGGCCCTAAAGAACTTGAGAAGAGACATATGATGATGCTCTTTAGGGTTAAAACTAAGGTGAGATGACCTGACCTGTGGTGTCACTGAAATGTATCAGAGATGTAGTCCTAGCTGTATGGTAGGCCCTAGGGAAAACTGCAAAGTCTAGTACATAGTACATACGGGACTGCTGCATTGCACAAGTCCACGAATCACCATTCACATAAAATGCATACAGTGTGAACGGTGTCATCTCAAGGTCAAGGCACACAGTAGATGCTCAATAAATATTTGTTGAATAAATTAATGATTCTGTTTTTAGGACCACAATCTCCTTCTCCCTCTCAGGCACATAATATCCTAAGCCACTTCCTAAATCATTCCAAGTCACCTAGTGTCATATCTATATCTCACTCCTGATCAATGTCACTTGAAAACAGTCACTTACACTTTAGCAAAAATATAGGAATGTGTTACCTCTCCCAATGGTATATACATGTTCTACCTGCATGTTAATTATGGAATGGAAGTCTTGTGTCTCATTAACAGAGTCCAGGCATCAGGGACAGGTAGGGGTAGAATTTTTGAGGCAGAAGTCTTTCCTGGTATCCCTGAAATCACACCCCATAGCCTGGTACCTACACTGTCCTCTTGCAAGCTTGACTCTACATCCACTGCCGCTCCATTTGTACAATGTATATGGGTGGAACAAGCCTGCAGGAGAAGGAGATCCTAATGGAGGTGAACCTGCAGCAGGATTCCATGGAATCTGGCCTCTGAGGCTGATCTTTGTTGCTCCTTTGCCTCTGACTGTACCAGTCAGGTGTCATGGTTCTTACTTTACAGAGCTACAAGGAGGAATGTCTAGTATCTAGCTAGGTGAGAGATGGCCACCTAATAAATAGGGAATTACCATCAGGAAGCAATAGAAGAACCAACCCTGGGGGGTTATTAGTTTACCTTGAACTTGCCTCTAGAAACTAGCTTTAGATGCCTGGTTAAATATTACTGTGTTAAATGGTGACCATGAGCATTATCTTCACCAGGCAAACTCCTGATCATCCTTTAGTACCTATTTCATTTATCTCCTCCTCTGAGAAGTCTTCTTTACTTTTTTGGGTCAAATTCCTTTGTTTCATTCTCTTTGGCCCTCTAGTCCTTTGTTCACAGCTTGTTGTAGATTTTACATACTGTATTGTAATTATTTCTGAGCGTGTGTGTTTCTATGTCTAGATTGTAGATTCTTTGAGGCTAGAAACTATGTATCTAGTCATCTAGGTATCTGCAGTCTGCACAATGGCTGGCATATTGGGAACGAATGGACACATGGACGTTCACTGAGTCCATGTCAGGACAGATTAGAACAAGAATGCTCCCCCCAAGGCCCCCAGACTCTATCAGACATAATCTTATGCTGGTAAAACGATTCATCTCTCTACTAAAAATGTAAATAGATATATAGGCACATAGCTGTTTTTAAAAAAATAAATGATATATGTAATAAGTAATAAAGGTTACCTTCTATTTGGCAAATTTTCCTAATAGAGCATTTTCACCAAAACACATTCTACTGATTTTGTTTAGCATGAAGCAGTAGGTTTTTTAAAATTATAGTAAGTTTTATTGTTTTGTTCTTATTACAAAAGTCATTTGTGTTCAGTTTCAAAAATACTTAAAATTAAACGGGAGGGAAGTAAAATGACCTGTAGTCCCACCTCCCAGAGAAAACTCGGGTTAATATTTAAGTGCACAGCCTTCCTTTTTTTCTTTTTCCCTGTGCGTATGTACATTTTGCATCTGCCTTTTTAACTTAACATTAGCTCATAAACGTTTTTCATGCCATTATAATATCCATCTGCAATATCACTTTTAATGATTCAGGCCCCTCCTGACAATACTTCATGCTGTCTCTGTGTTGCAGTGGAGTCTGATTACCTGGTGAGACAGTTGTGAGAACTAGTGTCCTGGTGATATAAACGTTTTCTCCCTTGAAGGCCATGTCCAGTAATGAAGATAGCCTCACTGAGGCCCTGTGGCCGTTCAGAAACCACCAGTTACCCATGAGCCCCTTCAGTCACACCTTTCTTTCCCCTCCCTGATTTTCACATTGAGTATGGCACAATGTCTGCAGCCACTCCTGTGGCCACCCAGTCACCTGATTCCTGATTGGCTGCTAGTCCTCTTTCAGTATTCCTACTACCCGCCTCTCCCTTCTGAAATCTACCTTTCCTCTAATGAGGCAAATCATTATTTTCAAAATGCCATTTTTACTCTGACCTAAAACTTACCGTGGCTCCTTATTACCTGCCATAACAAATCCAGGTCTGCCATCATCCCCAGTAAGAACACCGTCTTCGTCCGTTTTACTAGCCCAAACCTCTCTTTGCCTTCAGTACCCAAATTAAATCTCTCTACTTCCAAGGAACCTTCCATGATCACATCATGTTTGGCTCACGTATGTGTCTATTCCTCTTCCCCATTAAATACAAGGTCATGGTGTGATTTGAGTTCTCTTGCAGGACTCAGTTAGCTTTTTCCCAAAGGAAGCTATGCAGGGATGACTCCAGTGTGGCTTTCATTTTCCTCAGGATTGGAGATGAGTGGACGGTGCGGGGATGAGGAGCTTTCCCCTCACGAGAGCACTGTACTGAGCTGAGGCTGTGTCTTTCAGGCTGGGTGTTGCTCCAGGCCGTTCGGCAGGTGTTCCTGAAGGGGGAGACGATTGAGCTGAGGTGCCACGCCTGGAAAAGCAAGCCTCTGCACAAGGTCTCATATTTCCAGGATGGCAGAAGCAAGAAGTTTACTCATGATAATGCCATCTTCCACATTCCAAAAGCAACAGGCCAGCACAATGGCTCCTACTTCTGCAGGGGACTTATTGGGAATAGAAATGAGTCTTCAGGGTCTTTAAACATCTATATTCAAGGTGAGAGATGTGCAGCCCTAGAGAGCCCAGACCCCTTGTGTGTGGAACGTTGCACTCACACGGGAGGGTGTCTGGGGAAGGGATTTTGAACTGTCCTAAGAACTTCTTTACACGAGGTTCCTTCCTGGTGACCAGCAGAGATGCTGATTCCTGGGTAGATTTGAGTTCTGTTTCAAAAAATAAAAACCAAATCCATTGCCTTCAACTCATAGTGATAGTGACCCTACAGGACAGGGTAGAACTGCCCCATTGGGTTTCCAAGGAGTAGCTGGTAGATTCAAACCGCCAACCTTTTGGTTGGTAGTCATAGCTCTTAACCACTGTGCCACCAGGGCTCCCAGTCTATGGCAACAGTGGCAAAAGCCACATTTCCTCCTCCATCAATGTGCGTGTCCTTCCTTATCCCGTTAAACCGCACCCGCGATGCTCTGTGTTCCTGTCATGCAGGCCCATCTTCACATGCCCTCTTTTCCCTTCCAAGCCTCAAGTCTTAGCCAAGAGTCAAACTGTGTGGAACTTCTCACGCCCTCACAAAAAGGGCCCTGAACGCAGGTTCTGACTCTGCTGCTAATTGACCATGTGACTGTGGCTAAGCCACTTAGTCTGTCTGAACTTCACCTTCCTCCTCTGTAACAAAGACAAGCTGACATTTATTGGCCACTTTTAGTGTGCTGGACATGGTGCTAAATGCTTCTTTACATGATGATTCTAGTGGACCCTCACAACAACATTATGAGATAGGTAATATTGAGTATTTTACAGATGCTGTAACTGAGGCACAAAGCAAAAAAAAAAAAATTTATTTGCCCCTAAGGTCACACCATGAAGGAGCTGACTTCTATATATTTAACTGTTAGGTAAAATGAAAGAATTGAACAAGCACCAATATCCTATGGTAGAATTGTAAATCCCTTTCAATCACCTAGGAAACATCTCCAGTTTCTGTAGTCCCAGCCTCCAGGGTGCGAAATCCCCTAACACAGTGTCCCCTGACTCCCTGGTTTCACAGACTTCTATCTGTAACTGGTACCAACACCTAATTTATGTGTTGTGGGGCCTGTAGGGTCACTATGAGTTGGAATCAACTTGATGGCAATGGGTTTGGTTTTTTTTTTTTTTTTTTAAGGCCTGGGTGGCAAAAGCAGTTAGTGATTGGCCTGTAACCTAAAGTTGGTGGTTCAAACCCACCAAGCTGCTCTGAGGAAGAAAGGGCTGGCAAACTGCTTCCATAAAGATTACAGCCATGAAAACCCTATGGAGCAGTTCTACCCTGTTACGCATGAGGTCACCATGAGTTGGAATCCACCCAAGGAGGCAATGAGTTTGTTTGTGTGGTTGGTTGGTCAAGGCAGCAAGATAGATACACATCTTTAGAGACTTTAAAAAACAATGTTGTAATTTGCATTAACATAATTTCATTACAATTTAAATTGAAAGTAAATACTATCAAATGGTTCAAGAAAGAGAGCAAATGATAAAGAAAATGAAACAAAATGTAAACCATTAGTGAATCCGGGTAAAGAATATATGGAAGTTCTTTATTTATTCTAGTAACTTTTGTAAGTTTGAAACTATATCCAAATTAAAACTTTAAAGGAATTGAAAGTAAAAACTCACTGTAACATTACCAGTTTATAGACAACAGCAAGGAATGACTTAAAAATAACAATATCAATATTAAATATAAGGATGAGGATGAAGAAATTCTGCCTCTTTCCCTTTTGTTAGTTACTGGGTCTTAGTAAAAAAAATACTATCAATTTTCTGCCTGTGAGCAGCAAACTTCAATGGTTCACTTTTTAAAAAAGATTTTCTTTAGTGATAATGAGTAACATGGGGTGAAAACAATGACCCTAATTTTGAGGAACAAGAGAACACTATTGAATTAAGAAATAATGTTCTTACGCAAACTTCAACTTTGGCAATTTTCATAATTTCACGCGAGACCCAGCTGCAACCTAGCATGTTCGAACTCTCCCTGTCGCATCCCTCCACCAAACAAGAACAAGCTTTTGCTAAATGTTTGATGAGTTGTGCTCTGCTCAAGTAAGACTAAAATCAGAAGTCAGTGGAGAAGTGGGAGGAAGCAAAGGCCTCCCCCACCAGTCCCTAAAACCTGTTTCTTGGCAGCTGTTGGGAAGGCTCCTCACTGAGGAGCTCACTGTTTATTCCAAATCTTCACTTAACCCCTGTCGTTTTTCTTATCCCTCTGCCTCTCCTACTAGATCTGGAGGGTCCATCCATCACTCCAGGCGATCTACACTGGCACCAAGTCACTCTCTGCCTGATGACGGGTCTGCTATTTGCAGTGGACACGGGCCTGTATTTCCTTATGCAGAGAAACCTTCGAAGCTTAATGGAGGACTGGAAGATTAACAAACTCAAATGGAGCCAGAGCTTTCAGTTACAAACAACCCCTCATGCCATAGGATAATAGCAGCAGTAGCAGCAGTATCTCTGAGCCTCTCTCTATATTCACAATCCCATTACCTCCAACAGACCTGTCTGAAAGCAGCCAGAGAAATACACCTCAGAGCCTAGCCTGAAGGCGCTTCACCCAGCCTTCTATTTTCTCTTGGTCTCCAGTGAAAGAAAGGGCCTGTGATCTTCAGGAACAAGCAAAGCCCCAGTGAGGAGCTGTGTTCCCAGGAATTGGGGTCTCAGAGCTACACAGACATTTTCTCTGTCCCTGCCATTCCCTCACAGCAAAGCAACAACATGGTCTCTGGATGGTGTATAAACATTGTTCCAGAAATAAATGGATAAGCAGATGAGTGAATTTATGGTTGAGGCAGGGCCACTTAGACAGTTGGTCTACACCTACTGCTCCAGGGTTGGTTGCTTTCAGGCTATCCCAAATCTCCCTCCAGTCAGAGTGTGGGGACTGCTAGGGTTTAGGAGGAACAGCAGAACCAACGAAGGAGCTGACTGAGAAAGGGTGGGGTAGTTCAGGACGGACCAGGGAAAGTTCCCCCAGGCCCAGAGATGAGGCTGTCTTCCTGGGACACGAACCATGTTTGGGGTAACAGGAAATCACAGGGGTGATGCAGAATTAAATTTTTCAAGGAAGCTGCTGTCAGAATTGTAATGTTCTTTGAGTATATAATGAGGAAACCTTTAATGTTCCTGTTTAAAATTAAAAGGGTTGTGAGCGGAAAAGTGACTGAGATTGGGGGTGTAGGGGTGTGGGGAATGTTTGGAAAAGAAAGCACAGAAAAAAACAGGTGTCCAAAGGAAGGACAGCAGCATTGCTTTCTCAGGTTGAGCTACATGAACAGAGGATATCTCAGTTTTTGAACTGAGAGAGTATGACAAGAAAGTGTCAAAATTGCACAGGAAGGAATGGACAGGGCATGAAGATGCTTTTTTTTGGGGGGGAGGGTCAGGGTAGTAAGAATGATAAGTTATATACAATATATAATTATCAATTATAGGGATTATAAAACCAGCTTTTCTGCTTCAGTATCTAACTTGAGTATAGCTTCACTCCTGTCATTTATTAAACAAATGTTGGATCATCAAGACTAAATGTACTGAACTCTACTGAGGTACATTATGAAACTAAAATCCCTCAGCATGTCGGTAACAGTGGGGTGGATATGGAGAAGGCAGTCATTGCTGATGGAAGAAAATTATAGCTGTCTCTTTCTGTTTTAGAGGCTTTAAGCAGAACACTTCTTGATTTTAATAAAGCATTTTAGAAGGTCTTACATGGTACTTACTCTCAGACAGAAAATGGAAAAACCATGGTGATGAAACATGACTGATAAGATCTTTTTTTGCCTCCCATTGCCCAAAACTCTATCAGAGATTTGTTTGGGTTGATGGGTGTCTTCGTCATCTAGTGCTGCTATAACAGAAATACCATAAGTGGATGGCTTTAACAAACAGAAAGTTATTCTCTCACAGTCTGGTAGGCCACAAGTTCAAATTCAGGGCATCAGCTCTAAGGGAAGACTTTCTCTCTCTGTTGGCTCTGGAGGAAGGTCATTATCATCAATCTTCCCCTAGCTGAGGAGCTTCTCAGTACAGGGACCCCGGGTCCAAAGGATGCATGCTCTTGCTCTTCTTTCTTGATGGTATGAAGTCTCCCACACTCTGCTCACTTCCCTTTCCTTTTATCTCTTGCAAGATAAAAGGTTATGCAGACCACACCCCAGGGAAACTCCCTTTATATTGGATCAGGGATGTGACCTTAGTAAGGGTGTTACAATCCCACCCTAATCCTCTTTAACATAATCTCATCTTGCCTCATTAACTGCAGGCAGAGATTAGAATTTACAACACACAGGAATATCACATCAGATGACAAAATGGTGGATAATCACACAATACTGGGAATCATGGCCTAGCCAAATTGATACACATATTTTTGGGGGACACAATTCAATTCATGACATTCCACACTTTGGCCCCCTAAAATTCATGTCCTTGCCACATGTGAAACATATTCACCCCAACATATCACAGCAAAAGTCTTAAATCAACTCCAAGTCCAAAATCCAAAAATTCCTCTTCATCTGTGAAATCTAAAATACAAGTTATCTGCTTCCAAAGGTACGGTGGCAGAACAGGCACAAGCTAGACATTTCCATTACAAATGGGAGAAACTGGAGGAAAAGAAGGGATAACAGGCACCAAGCAGGTCAGCAGAACACATTACATTAGCCCTCAAGGCTTTGAAAATAATTCTCTGATCTCTGAGACAATTTACACAATGGCCCTGCCTTTCAGACTCTAGGTATTGGCCACATTCTCCAGTTTCTGAGTGGAGGTCCCTCCGCCCTGGGCTTCAGTTCCACCTTCCAGGCCCACTGGGATGACAACTCTGCTCCTTCGGCTTTAGGCACACCATTCTCCTAGTCCATCTGAGTGGGGCTTCACCCTTAAAAACACCAGAGGCCATGGCTCCACCCTTTGAAACTCCAGAGGTCATGGCCATACCCTTTGAGACTGAGGCAACTCTGCTTCCTGTGTCCCTGTCTCTTCAGCTCCTGCTTCCTGTTTCCTTGGCCTCTCAGCCCCTTGGGCCTCACGCCCACATCTGCCCTTCTGCGGCAAGTGTTCCAAAGCTCCGTAGCTCCACCGATAAGTGCCTGGAGGCACCTCATTCCACCAGTAAATTTCAGCCAGAAGGCACTCAGCTCTCTTGCTCCTTGGGTCAGCAAGCCTAGCTCTACCGATAAGTGCCTGGAGGTGCCCTACTACAGCAGGAAGCCTCCTGCGCACAGGCACTCAGCTCTCTTGCTCTGTGGGTCAGCTCCAGCACTGTCTGGCAGTGGTCTCCTGGTTCTGCTGTGGCTGGTCCTCTGCTGCAGCCGGTCCTATGCTGCTGTTTCTCACCATCTGTGCCTTCTCCAGTGTTAGCAGTTCTCCTCATTCCTTCTGAGTCTTCTATCCATTCACAGTTTCAAAACTGCTTCCACATTTTAAGTATCTGTTAGAGCAGCACCCTACTCCCAGTACCAAATTTTGTCTTGGTTATCTAGTGCTGCTATAACAGAAATACCACAAGTGGCTGGCTTTAACAAACAAAAATTTATTCTCTCACAGTCAAGCAGGCCACAAGTTCAAATTCAGGGCATCAGCTCCAGCGGAAGACTTTCCCTCTCTGTTGGCTCTGGAGGAAGGTTGTTATTATCAGTCTTCCCCTGGCTGAAGAGCTTCTCAGCACAGGGACCCTGGGTCCAAAGGACGAATGCTCCTGCTCTTCTTTCATGGTGGTATGAGGTCCCCTCACTCTCTGCTCACTTCCATTTCCTTTTATCTCTTGTAAGATAAAAAGTGGTGCAGATCTCACCCCAGGGAAACTCGATTTACATTGGATCAGGGATGTGACCTTAGTAAGGGTGTTACAATCCCACCTTAATCCTTTTTAACATAAAATTACAATCACAAAAGGGAAGGTAACCACACAGTACTGGGAATCATGGCCTAACCAAGTTGACACATATTTTTGGGGGACACAATTCAATCCATGACACCAGCCCATACACAATCCTTAGTAACTTTTTTGTACTAACATTACTCATAAGTCGTAATTCCCATATATCACTCTTTGTTTTTCCTTTAATTACTTTGTTCTCAAAAAAAGTTATTTGGTATAGGTTTGCAAATACTAATTACCACAATATTATAGCTAAAACACCAGAAAATTTGACAAAATCAGCAACTATAAAAACACCAACAGTAGGAAAACAACATCATCATGTGCAGACAAAACCACATGATTTGAAGCATCATTGTAATTGGGTAATAATGACAGCTCTGGATGGAGCCCATTAGAAGGTTCAAAAAGTAAATTAGCATATTAGTATAGTTTTAGCCATAGGTATATTTATTTTTGTAAGCTTGGCTTACAAAAACTGTTTTTGTTGTTATGACTAACTACAAGGATATTTTTATAAAAAATAATAAATTTCTGCTGAGACACTGCACAAAAATTTTATAGGTAGAGGGTGGAGCCAAGATGGCGGAGTAGTCAGACAGCTTCGTATGTCCCTCTTAGAACAAAGACCTGAAAAAACAAGTGAATTGATTGTATATGACTATCTAGGAGTCCTGAACAAGGCAAAGTTGAGGAATCTGACTGAGTGACTGGGGGAGAGAGAGATGGTTCTGAAGCAGCGAGGAGTTGCCTGACCTGACCCAGTGGGAGCCACAGCCCTTCAGCCCAGATCACCTCAGGTGTGCAGTGAGGCTGACAAACAGCTATGCTTGCTTGCTGGGGAGGCATTTTCCACTTCAAGAGATATCTGGCAGCAGAGAGTCTACTTGGACACTCCGAACCAGTGAAAAGCAGCACTCAAGTGGCTAAAGATAAGTATTTGTGTGTGGCCTACCACGGGGAGTTAAAAAAAAACCATTTGGGAAAAACCTCCCTCCCCACTCTGCACCAGGTCCTGGCCGGCTTCATCGATCTGTGAGTTTCCTGGGCCAGAATAGATCCCATAAGGTGGTCTGACCCATTCTCCTGGCCTTGGAGAGGGAACAAATTAACAAACAGGGAAAAAATAAGCTACCAGCTCCCCTAAGCCAGGACCTCAGTCTTGGCACAGCTCTGTTGCCTAGGCACAGGCATAAGGGGTCCACGGACTTTGAGTGCCTTTCACCCCTGCATAGACTTGTGTGGGCCTATCTCAACAGCGTAAGCCCTCACTACCACAGTACAGCAGGGTAAATACCTGAAGTCTAACTTCATCTGTTTCACCTGTGAAGTGCCAGGTTTGTGATGTTTGACACTGCTCTGCCGTTTAAGCAGGCACCTTACCTGCCTGCATCAGGGGCTTGAGTACTGGTGGCTCCACCTCTGCCACCTAGCCACCTGCTACAGGGATCCAAGAATAAGTGCTGCCCCCCAGTCCTTACAATCAACAGAGTAGGGTGCTCATAGTCCGGCTGCAAAACTCACCTACCTACTCACTCTAGGGAACAGGGACACACTTTCCTTTCAGACACTCAGGGGCAGCCATCAGCTCCCTGCCTTGCTGAGCACGTGACCCCTTACTGCAGCCAAATACCTGTGCCTACACCAATCACCCATGCCTCTCTAAGACTATAGGTGAGAGCCTCACAACACACTTGGTGACCGACTGCCTGGACACCTGAGCTGAATCCATACAGGAAAATTTAACGGACTCCTGGACACACAAACTTAGCAACAGACCTCATTACCTGGTGACAGGATGTTAGAGCTTTAAAGGTGCCAGTAATCAAACTAGCATACATGAACAGCCTATTTGGGCATATCAAAACAAGAAGGTAGGACACACTAAACAATTATAAAATAAAATTATAATAACTTATTGATGGCTCGGAGACAACAGTCAATATCAAATCACATAAAGAAGCAGACGATGATGGCTTCAGCAAGCTCCCAAAATAAAGAATCAATAAATTTTCTGGAGGAAGAGAATTTCTTGGAAATACCAGAGGCAGAATAGAAAAGATTAATATAGAGAACTCTTCAAGAAATTAGGAAGGAAATTCTTCAAAATGCAGAGAGCAGTAGCAGAACTTAAAAAGTTTATTCAAGAGCATAATGACAAATTTAATAGGCTGCAAGAATCCATAGAGAGACAGCAATCAGAAATCCAGAAGTTTAACAACAAAATTTCAGAATTAGACAACTCAATTGAAAGTCATAGGAGCA